CCTCCCGGGCAGTAGAGCGCCAGCGGCGCGCTAGAGCGTCGAGCGGCGCCCCTCGTCGGGGGGGCGGCGCCGCCTAGCGGGCGGTCGCCGTCACTGCTGGAGGGAGGACGCTAACGCCGCGGCAGGGCGCATAGAGAGGGGCGGAGGCGAGTCCAGAGCGCCGCTTCCCGCCCGCCGCCGGTCGGCCCGGGCAAGAGCGAGGCAGGCGGCGGAAGGGAGCTAGAGCGGACCGCGGCGCGGGGGTTCCATTTTGTGCAGGGGGAGGGGGCGACGAGCAGGCGGGTGCTGCCGCCGGCCCGCAGGCAAGGCTCTGTATGGCCGGCCCGGCCCCCGGTGGCCTCCCGCAGGCCGTGGCGCTACGGGGGCGGGGGCGCCGGCGACCTGGGTTACCCCGGGGCGGCGGCGGCCATGTTTCCGCGTCTGCCCGCCGCTCCCGTCAGGGGCTGTGCCGCCACCGGCAACGGCTCTGGCGCGCAGCGGGCGTCATCGTGCTTCAGCCCCTACGCGGCTAGGGCAAACCCGGTGTCGGTGACCCGAGGTGCGATGGCAGAGATAATTAATGGTTGTAGCGGTTGAAGGGTGAAAGGAGCGCGGCCAGCTGAGCTAGGCCTTGGGAAAGGGCAAACGCAAAGGGCTTCTGCGGCCTCGCGAATGACGGCACAGAGCCCCCGCGTGGGGATGGGGGCGATGCCGGGTCCTCCAACCGCTAGAAACAACATGAACCATTCTGGGTTTTTTCAGTGAAGATGCTGGCGATAAACCTGAGAGGCAAAAATGTGAACAGAGCAGCTGATGTGTGAAATTGCCTCATCCATTACAGAAGCAACTGCACTGAGGAGCAGGAAAGAATTTTTTTTGTGTTTCTCGCTTCCCACGCTGAAGTATGAGTTAAACATACAAATACGTTCTGTAGCCAGTTAGCAAAGACTTAGGCAAAGTGCTGAACTCCCATTATTGAGAAAAGACACAAGGGCTTGCGTGTATGAATTCTAGTAGCTGGGCAGTGAAGTCTAGTGGCTACTGTTTTGGTCACCAGTGCACTAGTGGTGTGGTGTCTCACTGCTTGCCCTCCTTCCCAAATACAGAAAACCTGAGCAATTTTTCTCATGTTCAGTCTCTAGTTCATGGCTGGCGAATCAAGGATCCCTGGCCAGTGGGAAAAGGCAGTTGTTGGAGGAAAAGTCCAAAGACCTTTCAGTCAAAAGAAAAATCAGGAAAACCAGATTGTTAGGCAGAGAAAAGCTTTGACCTCTCTGCTGGAAAAGCTGGTCTTTGTGTTCATCTGTTGTTAAATTCCAGGGAATCCACAGAGGTGATACACCATGAATCTGCAAGAAAAGCTTCAGGTAGTGTGGACTCAAGTTATGAGATGCAAATCTTTAAGAAAACTATCTTAATTAATTTAATACACATAAAACTGTCTTTTCTATAGTTTAGTATCCTTTCCTTTTACCTAGAGGTGATTATTGATCCTTTTCCGTCTAGGGTGGTGCTCCTCTAAGATTTCTCTTGTAGTGAATATGACTTGTAGATAGCACTTGTACTTTTAGCCCTCACCTCCTCTGCATCATACATGTAGTTAACATTTATATCCCTGAGCTCTTTGGGCCAGTTTACTCACTAACTAAGCTTTTGAAAGTCTGTCCTTTCAAAATAGGGAAATCCTGTTGCTAACATCCTTTGATTTATCCTCCCGATTGATTCACTCAAAGTGAGTTCTCTTTTGATCAGTTTACTCAAGGTTATTTCCTGCAGGCAGGTCTCTCCCAATATTTTTGCTGTTTGTTGTGGTTAGTCAATATTGTGAAGAAACCTGTTAACTTCCCTTATGGAGAAATACATGTACTGAACCATTTTCAGTAGCAATTGTTTTCCAGCCTATGTTGAAGAGGCCAAAGTGTAACTTCCAAATAACTTGACAGGTGCTTTTGTCAATACCCAAATCTGGTTTGGGCAGCAGTAGAGTTTACTCCTGCCACCCAAGATACATTTGCTTTACCCAACATTACCTTGTCCTAAAGCAACACTGTTAAGCCCACATTATGCCCTCTTTTACAGTCTGTAACATTAATGTATGTCATCATGCTGCTTTCAGTTCACTTTTTAAATAGCTCATGCTCTTCCTGCTTCTAAATGTTATTCTACCAGGTTTCAGTTATCGCTCAACTAACTGGTGTCACATCTTCGATCAGCAGCTTAAGTTTCTTCACTTCATCTGGTGGTAACGCTGCAGCAATCTTGGGCCTTCTGGCCTGAAAGGAGTAGAAATTATTTTCTCCCATTCTTTGCATAAATTAAGACCTTCTTTTTGTGGCTTTTCTGATTATTCTCTGTCTTCTGAAGCTATGGAAACTGGCTACAGCAAAAGACAAGATGTTAGGGGGGAGGCCAGATTACTTAGAGTTACTTGAGAAACACTGCAGGCATCTGCTTGATATCTAACTTGTGTGCAGGTTTAAACCAACTGGGTCAGGAAGGAATTTCTCTTCTGGTTTGGACTGGCAGAGTTCTGCATTCATAGGAACATCAAAGCATTCTTGCTTACCAAACTCTTTCCTGTTACAATGATCTCTCCTCCTCTGACATACTCTTAAGTTGGATCTGAGGTTGGGATGCCATGGTGTGCATGGAATAAATATTTCCCTCTGAACCAAGTGTCTGGTACACAGGTTCCCTGGGACTGCAGGGGAAGCAGTCGATGACTCAGGCAGTCCTCTCCTGTCCTGTTTCTCTTCTGACTAGGCTCTTTAAGTTAATACTCAAGTTTTTTCTGTCTTGCCAATTATACTCAACTAATGAAAATTTCCTGATGGGTTCACTCACTGCTAATACTTTCTCCTTGCTGTTCATTCTCCAACCCTCTTAACGCTTCTTTAGCAATTACCTTATGCCTATTCTAGGTTCCTTCTCCTGTTACTAAAACAAAGTAGATCATAAGGAACGTTAATTTAAGGAGTAAATGACTTCAGTAAATGGGCACATTTGCTTTAATTCCTACCCACAGTTCACACTAAATACATGTATCTTCATGAAGTCCCTCCAATAGGCATTCTGCTGACAGGCAGACATTCCCCAAATTCATCAGGTTGCTGTGTCTTTGACCTCTTCTCCAGCACCAGAAAGACTTCTATCAAATATTACCATGAGTGTCCATTCCTTTCTTCTGCAGTCTCCTTCCATTTTGGTTAATTCAAGTGAAGTTGTTTGTACAGGAACAATTCTAGTTAACTCTGTACTTGAAGAAGTCTGTCAAAACTAGAATTATTCTGAAAACCAAGTTACACAGATCTAATCCTACAACTGTTTCTTAGTTCTCATTTGACTAAACATGGTCTTCAAGTGTTCATGACAATACTTAAACATTTAGCTTAAAGAAACATGACTTGGATTGAGAGAACAAAATTAAGCATATTATTTTTGAAGTGTACAATTATACACTGAGCGTAAAATCTCAGGGTTGTTGGCTATCCTCTTCCTGGCTGGAGGTGAAGATAAACTTCAATTGTGATAGCTTGGAAGGGGCTATGTTTTGAAAGTGTCAGTATGCTGTTATTTCAGGGATGAGTTTAGTAGCTGTCCTGGTTTCAGCTGAGATAGAGTTAATTGTCTTCCTAGTAGCTGGTATAGCATTATGTTTTGGGTTCAGTATGAGAAGAATGTTGATAACACACGGATGTTTTCAGTTATTGCTAAGTAATGTTTAGACTAAGCAAGGATTTTTCAGCTTCTCATGCCCAGCCAGCAAGGAGGAGCACAAGAATTTGGGAGGGGACACAGCCAGGACAGCTGACCCAAACTGGCCAAAGGCATATTCCATACCATGTGATGTCATGTCTAGGATGTAAACTGGGGGGAGTGGGGCTGGGAGGAATCACCACTTGGGTACTAACTGGGTGTCAATTGGGGGTGGGGGGGAGCGAGAGAGCAGCTGCATGGTGCTTAGTTGCTGGCTGGGGTTAAACCACAACGGTAGGTGAGCCTGCAGCAAGCAAGAGATAGTAGGAGGGGTAAGTCTGACGTGTTCCCAAAATTTCCTGTACTATCTGTAGAGGCAGGGTGCTAGCAAGAAAGTTATCAGCATGTCAGGGCATTTCCCAAGGACAGGAAATGATTAGCAGATGAGAGGTACTATCTTCACTGTATGCTTTCCAACATACAGACAGCTGAGTTCAGCTATTCTCTGCAGCCAAACCAGTGTAAGGCACCACAGGATAAAAGCTCTATTAAAGTTTGGAAATTTTCCTAATTATACCAAGAATATAAACTTTCAGTCTCCCTCTTTACTATACCTCAACTATAGCATTTTGGCCAGGAAGCACACTTCGGCACATTGGGCCCTGGTGACCCTCATACTGTCTGTCATCTCACAGTCTTAAGACAAGTCTCAGAAGAGCAAATTATATTGCTAAAAATTAAAGAGTAATTGAGAAGATAGGAATATACAAGGTTATGGCTTTGAAATATTTTTCCCGCTGCATTTCTCCATGTGGCTTAACCATCTTTTTTCCCTCCCTCCTCTGACCACTTCCTTCCCTGCAGCAAATGCTGCAGGTCTCTGTGAGACTCTTTTGATCTGCAGCCATTGCTCCGACTCCCCACCACTGACTGCTCCCAGCCCACATTAATAGCTTACCCAGTTCGACACCTTCCTGCCACAGTTTGATACCTTCCTCCTCCTCCCTGACACCTAATGAAAGGGATAAGGCTTTGAGGTGCATAGATGCCAAGCAAACAAGAGGGAGAGATCTGTCCTGACCCAATCCTGCCCTCCCGCCACCACTCTGTATATAAGCAAAAGGACTAGGCTGCCAGCTAACCCAGTACAGACACAAGAATCTGAGCAGGACGCTTAACCAAACTTCATTCATTGTACAGTTGAATAAAAGCCCATCAATTCTGAATTAAAATCTTCCAGACCACTGATCCAGAGAAGGCATGCCAACCGGTGCAGGTTTGACAGCTTTTCTCCATAATGCAGGTTCCAATTTGCTCGTGGGACAGGTGTGAGGGATTTTCCAGAGGAATAGTTGTCCTGCTGCAGGTGCAGCAATAAGAAACTTCTAAAATTTCTGTGGCTTCTTTCTCAGCCAGAGTTGCATCACCAATATTTAATTTGGAATGCTGAAATCACTTTTTCCAATGATCCCAGTGAAGAGGGAGTTAGGCATGTTCTGGGCACTGCTGTCCCCTCTTTCCTATGCGCTTCTCCCAGCTATAGGTAATCAGGCCAAGTCAGAACAAGGATGAATAAAAACAGACTCTTCCAAGTAGCTTTTTCTTAGAAGATCAAGGCTATGAAGTTAGTCCAATGTCACCCACAGTCCTACGAGCAGCGTCCCAGCAAAAAAGAAAGCAGGAGGGTTGGAACCAGAAGGACCCTTATCCTGGCTCAGAGTCCTGTCATTGATGGCTTGGCTGGACAGGTTAGAATCGAGGAGCTCCGTAATCATCTGGCATCCTCTCAATATTGTATCTGAGAAAGAAAGAGGGAAAACCTATGAGGACAACCTACTCCACATTGCTCCCCTCCCCATGCAGCAACAGGCTTGCAGGCAGACTGAACAGCAAAAAGCTTTGTTGCATTTATATCTGCAGCTCAGATCCCCAGGAAAAAAAATATTACTCCTGAAAGTGAAAAGCCTTCATAAGGTTGCTTTTATCCTTCACCTCAAATTCAGAAATTGGGCATCTCAAAACCTCACCATCACCAGAGAAGGAAAAAAATGGTGGTTTTGTAAGATCTGACTTGGGATTTAAGAGCAGACCACCACAAAGAATAAAACTTTGGCCATTCAACTTATGATTCATGGCCACAGTGAATAAGGGGAAAAGATGTTTTGAGAGAAAAATGTTCTGAGCCATGTTCTAATTACAGATCAGTTAAGACTTTACATATTTATAGCAATCAACCTTCTAATTTCTGATAGATTGCTCTGTCTGCATGTTACTAGACTCATTGTCTCCACTGCTAGCACAATTGCCTCCTTCCCAGTATCTCTCCCATCCCATCTGATGACTTTGGCCCTTTTCTCTCCACATCCTGACTTCTCTCCTTACAATGCTACCAAACATATCTACCATACTGTGAAACAATTTGGCATAGGTTTGATGCACGATAAATCTTCTGGGCTGTACATTATGTATATATGACAAACAAAGGTGAGTAAAGTCTTCTTAGTCTAGGCTTTATGAGTACTTTGGAAGGAACAGGAAATGGTTTTAAGCAAATGTTTTTACAGTAGATCACTGGTCCTATTGAATATAAAAAAATAACGTGAGCCAGTACTTGCAGATACTGGAGAAATCTGCTGCATTGAAATTGCTGCATAAGTGTCCGTCCGAGTTGGTTTGGTTTTTAGCTAAGAAGCAAATTCAATCTCTTAGCTGAGGTTACATAAAGCGACCAAACAGAATATGGAACAAGAATGGTTCTTTTCCTCAAGAACCTGTAGAATGCACTTGCCTGGTAGTCCTGCTGCTGCTGCTGCTGGTAAGCAAGCAAAACTGATCTATGGTAACACTGGCCTCAAGGAAACCAGTTTTCTGGGTAAAAGCAAGTAAATATGTAGACTGCAGTAAAAGTGGGTCTATGACCAGTCTCTTTCCAGCAGCAGCTGTACTTCTACTTTTGTGCGAACACTAGGCCCTTTACTGCAACCTGCACTATAGATAATGCAGGAGAGAAATACATGGTGATAGAGTCCCTGTCAGACAAGGATTGTACCAGGCAGTGTTCCTCCTTGTGGGGGGTCCCTTACCTGTGCCTGGAAATATACATTATAGGCACTCCTGGGATTTTTCGTATTCTCCGCTTGAGCTCTTTATCCACTGTGGCCACAATGTAACATTTGTGCTGCAAAAAGAGAGGCGAGTCAGATCAAACACCAGTGAACCCCCAGAAAAGAAACAAAGCTGAGCAAAAGCTTCTATTCTGTGAGCTTCTTTAACACAAGAGGTCTACAAGTCATTAGCGAGGCATTACTACAACTTGTACAGAATTCCGCAGCAGTCTAGTAACATCATTCTGCTCATCAAAACAGACTCATAGAAATATCCAAAGCCTGTCCAGCCTTCCCAGCTGACAGCTTTCTCATATTAAGTGCTTCTTGATGCTGACCTACACAAGAAGCATGCTCAGGGAAGACTATAACTTGCTTCAAATTAAGTTGTGCTAGGGACTGAAACAGCCCCTTAGTGAGATTTTACAGTCACTTTGTGGGAAATGTAAGTCATCAGTAACTAGGAACATTCAGGAATTTTTAGTATGTTAGCACAGTATTGAAAATTTCAGAAACAGAAATACCTGAGTGACCCTCTGTACCAAGCAGTCATCTGCATAGGTTCCTTTGTGCATACATGGCAAGCGTTCAAAACGAGGGTCCTTGGCAATTCTGTGGGGACATATAAGGCAGCATCACAGCAACCAGACCAGAGTGTACAGTAACACAGGACAGGGGAACAGGAATGCCCCCTTCTGTGAAACGCAGCACGTTATTCTCAAAACAAGGGCTGAATGGATGGAGTGAATGGCACACAACAGTCAATTGTAATGAGGAGCAAAAAAAGAATGCCATTTATCTGGCTAGTTATTATAGGTTAATTGGATTCAAGATCCCTACAATGTTAGGCTCTTGCCTAAGAAAGTCATTTGAAACAAGTTATCTGTGGGAAGAACTAGAATTTCTGGTATCTGAACGTTCGTACCATGCACATCGGAAAACTTCACCTCCTCCCTGAAGGGGAACATCAAAGCTGTTTAGAGGATGCACTTGGATATTTTACAACACAACAGGCCAAAATAAAGAGTAAAGAACAATACATCTGATTGGTACACCTGCAGCAGACAAAGTACATTGGACTAGTTTTGTACAGATCACAAAATAACCTGGCTCTAGATTATCAGCACGTGCTACATACTCCTACAGGAATAACATCAGGCAAGAGTGAAAGGTTCGATAAGACTTGGGTCACTTCTTTATTTATTTTCAGAAAATTCTGCAATTCTGTAATTTAAAAAGAAATCTACATATATTTTGAGAAACAGGAGGAAGCATTATTTTGAAAGTCTTAGGGGAAAAAAAAGATTAACAGATCGATATTAGGCACTCATACCTACCATTTAGTTTTTAAAAAAATCATCTACAACTTGAGCCATCGTACTGATCTCATACAGCCAGAGAAATAAAACCCAGTTCGGGACTCTGCAACAACCTATCTACTCTCTAGTCCACAAGCACCATCATGGAAAGTGCTTTTCATTTATTTATATTAAAACATTAAGTTCTAGAAACAGAGAAGAACACCCTGCACCTACCTTAACGCCACACGGTACTTCTGTCCTAACTTTTCAATTTCACCCATTACACAATCTGTGATACATGGAATACCTACATGCAAAAAAAAGCCTGTATTAAACCCAAGCAGTATTTCTTCACAGACCCCTACATATTGCCCACATGCCCAGGAACTATCATGGAACTTTACAACATATTACAGTTTTAAACTTATGAGAACTGATAAAGTTGCAAAGTGATGAAATGTAGAGCCACTGAATTTGACCATACCATGGTAATTTTAGATTTTTAAGTTACTAATCCTTTACCTTTGCTGAGATCAGCATTTAAGACCATTGTTTGACTGAAACCAGAGACAGTTCCAGGGTTACCATAGCCACGAACAATGAGCTCGATGATTATAGCACACATCCTTTTTTCAAGATTTCTGTTATCCTTAGCTAGTGGTATGAGGCTGATAAAGTACATCACAAGCACACCGTGGCACTACATGGTCCAAAAGAAGATGCAAGTGATGCAGACACTCACACTTGGCATAGAGACAGTCCATCATTGACTGTACTAGGTCCAGCTTGGCCTTGATGGAGAAGTTGATGAAGTTAGTGTCAACCAGGATGTGATAAGGGGGGCCCAACTGTGTATTATACTGGAAGAACAAGCAAGAGGGATGCTGGGGGCTGCCAGGAAGACAAAGAATTCAAATCAGTTAATTGCAATTAACAACATATCCAATCATACAACTTGCACAGAATGAAAGAAGGGTAATCATAGAATCATTTATGTTGGAAAAGACCTTTAAGATCATCGAGTGCAACCGTCAACAATGCCCACTAAACCATGTCCTGAAGTGCCTTGTCTATGTGCTTTTTGAATACCTCCAGGGATACCACCAGTTCCCTGGGCAGCCTGTTCCAATGCCCGACAACCCTTTCAGTAAAGAAGTTTTTCCTAATATCCTATCTAAACCTCCCCTGGTGCAACTTGAGGCCATTTCCTCGCATCCTATGCGCAGAAACAACACGAGGCAGCACAGGATGGTGGCCTGCCAGGCCTCCTGCCGCCTCCTAAACCCAATCCCTTGGTTTGGGGCACCATTTACTACTCTGAAACGTCCTCAGTCGAAGCCTGCAGCGTGGCCGGCCGGCCCTCCCTCCCTCTCTCTCTCCCTCCCTCCCCAAAGCTCCGGCAGCACTTACACCTCCCGCTCCTTAATGGCACTCGGGTCCTCTTTCTTCTTCACGGGGGCTTTCGCCCGGTCCTTCTCGTTACTGCAAGGAAACGCAGGCACTCCTGGCGGGGGGGGGACGGGGAAGGGCGGCCAGCGGCGGAGAGGCCTGGGCCAGGATCCCCTCCCGCCCCTCCCGAGCAGGACGCGGGGACGGCCAGCCCCACGCAGCCGGCTCCGGAGCCCCGCCTGGGCCCGGGCCCAGCCGCAGCCACACTCACATGCGCTGGTCCCGGAGGCTGATCATGCGCTTCATGACCGCGTACTTCCTCGCCTTCTTCTGCTTCCCCTGCAAGCAGAGGGACACACAGCCGCGATGAGCTGGGGGGAGACCACGGCAGCGCGGCACGGCACGGCACGGCACGGCACGGCCCACCCCTGCCCGCGCCCTGCTCAC